TATTGAAAATGGAATAATTATTATAGATGAAAATAACAAACACCATCATTATAAAACTGATGAGATTGTTATTAAAGTGGAGGTGATTGAAACTAATAAAAAGTTGATTATTGCAGGAATTGGTAATTTTAACTTTTATTTAGTTAGTTTTGAAGATTCTAAGTTTAATTTAATTAGTCAAATGAAAGCAGAAGTCAAAAAAGTTTATTTAAGTGATATTCTTATTATTTTATTTGATGATGGTGAAGTTCATTCTTATAGTGATGTTAAAAAAGTAACTGATTTAAATAATAAATCATTATTTAATGATATCAAAAAAGATTCTCAATATATGAGTTATAAATGCCAATCTGGTGATCAAATTGTAAAGTTTGTAAACAAAGAAGATGAAATAGTAATACCATCAGAAATATTTAATTTCTATATTAGAAATAACTATTTTTATAGAATTGGTTATACAAATGGACAATCATCACTTATAATTAATGATGATATGTTTTCTTATAAGGGAGGAATTGAAATGATTGAATTTTTTAAGGGAATTCCAATATTTTATATGAAAGGATCTCCCACTTCTAAATTATTTATTGGTAGTGATGAATTTAAATTTCATAAAATAACTGATTTAGCTATTAATGAAGAATTTGTAGGTATTTCTACAGTTAATGGTGAGATTCATATTTTTAAATATCATCTACCGGTTGAAAAAGTTAGAAAATTAACAACTATCAAGGTGTCAAATCTACCAGTCACTGGTATTAGTTTAAAAGAAAAGCATGTGTTTTATAGTTTATTAAGTGGGAAAGTTGGTAAAGAATATGTTGAAAAGAATAATTTTAATTTTTATATATTAAATACTATGATTGTATTAATTATTGCTATAATTATTGGTATTTATTTTAAAAAATAAAATTATACTTTTTATAATGATGTTATCTTAAATTTAATTCTATAATAAATAATTAGTTATAAATAAATAATTAGTTAAATATTAAATTTATT